ACACACACACACACACACACACACACACACACACACACACACACACAGGAGTAGATTGAGGTATTCCTCTTATTAGACAGATGCATTCTGAATGTATGAGTCCCACTTACAGCTTCAAAAATAAATTTAAATGTGTTGTGGGAAGCAAGAAGTTCAATACAAATATCCACAGTTAGGCAGATGACACACAATTATACCTTTAAATGAAACTAACTCAGACGGCCTATCGTCTCTGGCTTCCTGTTTGGCCTCAATAAAACAATGGATGAGTGACAATCTTATAAACTTTAATGTAGTACATTTTTATCTTTCTACCACCATTTTACTACTTTTATTTCTCTGGCTTTATATTTTTAGGAACTTCTTATTCTCTGTATTTTACATCCGACGTGCGTCGTTGTTATTGTCATACCATAAAGCACGTTGAGCTGCATTTTATGCATGAAAAGCAAATAAAATGATCATTATAAGTTACCAATCACAAAGACCCGTTATGTTGTCTTCATGTTTACTTACGTCATCATACAGCATCTCAATTTCATTGAGTAAGGTCTTCGAACGCAACACTTTGGTGTCGTTCTGCTTGAAGTTGATGCCTTGATGGTCGAGTGACTTCAGGTAATACTTCTCATTCTGCTCCCGCCAGATTTTGTTGAAGCCTCTCTGGGCTTCTCTCCACTCCTCCTCTTTCATTTTTAACCTGGAACAAAAGAAAAGTGATGCTTAAATCTTAAGTACAGACAATCTTTTAAGATCTAGGTTAATGCCTGAGCAGATAAGTAATTCAAATCAAGAGTATTCACCTTTTCAGCACTATGGGAACCGACACAGCCGGGTTCTTCTTGAGCCCGTCGATGATGTCGTGGGCCTTGTCGCCATATATCCTCTGGATGGCTTTGCGGTGAATCACCTCCGAGGAGCCGCCCATCGTGTTGTCCAGCTTGAAGCGCAGCTGCTCCTCCGCCGACATGCGGGACATCCTCCGCTGCACCGCCTCCAGGGCTCGTATCGTGGCCAGGTTGGCTTCCAACACCACGTCCAGCTAAAGCGGGAGAGATCGCAGGGAAGTTATTGACAAGTGGGGAAAAAAAATAAAGGTTTTCTGTGATCTTTTTACTTCTAATCAAAGTGCATCATGGACTTCCTCACCTCAAAGCGCTCGTCCTCACATCTGTAAATGTGCTCCTCGTATTGAGTCTTCTTGGAGCTCACAAACGTCGAATCTTCAGACCACGATGGAAACGACACCCACGTGTCATTCAGAACCTGCGAGATCACATTCAGTTCAATTCTAATGTCAGTTTTTAGGGAAAGACTTTGTGTGAAAGCTGTCATTTGACTTCATGTCAGGCACAAAGATCACAAAACGCAGGAAGATAAGTCATAACAATCAAAGCGTGTAGGTTTCAGGCCTCAACACGTAATCAAAAATGCTTTATAGTTCTAAATATGAACTTCACTTTGTATGAAGCAGCAATCTAATGTAGAGAACAGTGTCTGTAACATAATGTAGCGAAAAGATGGCCTTTTGTTCTTGATGAAACACTCAAGCAATCAATTAGTTTATCTTGTTTCTGCTCAGCTGGAACAAATAATCAGTTATAAAATAGTAAAAAAGTTAGAGGTTGTGGAGGCTTCTCAAATGTGAGGATTTGCTGCTTTCCTGTCATTTCAGTGTCATTTAAAAAGCTTTAAATTACTTTAACAATTAGACGAAGTCAAAGACAAGTGTGAGGAAATAATGGAACGCTCTGTTAACTTGTAAAGGACATTTGGTGTTTTTTAGACTGAATGCTCAATCAAGTGATTTAAGCAAAAAGCAATTTTAGCAATGTTTCGGTAAACTTTGTCTGATGAACGTGGCAACATCTGGAGGCAACAACCTCGAACCTAAACACAAGCGCACCACAAGAGTGAAGCTGCCAAAAACAGGCAGCGCAGCAAAACCTCGACCGGAGACGTCGGACACACAGCCGTCAGAGATTAAAGTAAGCGCTTCACATGACGAACATCTTTTCTTTTAAATATCTGGTGTCGTGGGCAACACCGGTGTTGGCCCAAATTTAACCGGTGGCATCCCTAATAACAGCCCCGTAGCAGAGGATGAACAAGCGTCTGCAGTGACTCGCCTCTCTGCACAGCGGCGTCCTTCCTGTGCACTTGGGCTGCTGGTAGCTCTTGGGCAGCGCTCTGTAGCTGGAGCCCAGCCTCTTGCAGGAGGCGTAGTCGATCTCCATCGCGATGCCCTCGGTGGCGCGCTCCTTGGGTAAACTCTCCGCGTGGCTCGACTCCCCGTGAATCGACTCTCGGTAGCCCAGGAAGTTCTTAAACCACGTGAAAAGCTCCGGGAATTTTCTGTCAATCAAATAAAGAAATGCTATGAGACTGCAGCCCGGTGGTTTACGGGTATTGTATGTAACAGGGACATTTGTAGAGGATATTTTTCAGTGATAGAAGTATTAAATGTTATGTACATGGATGTTGAAACAGTGTACATTGGGTTTTTTCACCTTATTGATTTTTATTATATTTGCACTCTGTCCTACTTTATATTGCAACTGCTGCACAAGCATGATGTTATTAGAAAAAAATAAAAAAGCCATAGTAAGTCAGAGTAACATATTTACTGTCATAGGTGTATTTCTTATCTCCATCGTACTGAATACATGTGTACAACTCATGTGTTTTAGTATGCTGTTGTTATTTAGCTACAATGAACAACAGTGCAGTTACAGAAACAATGAAGCTCTGGTGACTGTAGATGTGTGACCGACTGTGTGCATCTTTAAACTCACCCAAGAAATGGGATGACTAGCTGGACCAGCTCGGCCCGAGAGATCACTTCCTGGTTGAAAATGTGAAGACACCGCAGGAAGTTGTCGTACGCCTCAGAGCTCCGCAGAGCCTTCTTCACCTGGAAGAGAGTTTTCAGTGACGATATTAAAATAAATCAAACCTTTCCCTCGAGGTGATTCCATTAATATGTGTGTCATCATCTTGTTTTTGCAGGACAATAAACATAAACAATACTGACCTTCTCAAAGAACATGGTTTCAGTGCTGGTGCTGTGTTTGCCGACTTCAGTCATGCCGTGATCCTTCCCCAATATTTTGGGCTTTTTCTGCAATAGTATGAGGACATGATTGTTGCAGGCTCTCAAAAATGACTTATTTTGAAAATGGTAAGTGTTATAAAAGAAGATTTTTGGTAGATTTAAACACACTGAGTTGACAGTTTATATGTTAAACGTAGCTAAAACTAACAGAGTACAATAAAACCTTCCTTCGTGAAGGTTCCTAATGTTCAGTTTTTGTTAAAAATGTTTAACTATTGATTCAACTTTATGGTCATTTTGGAAGCTGCAGTTTGGTGGAGATGCTGCTGAACTGTCCTTGTGAGGAGTTTCTAATAATTTAAACTACCCATGCAGCACACTGACATTTCTGGCGTCTAAAATATAGCAGAAGAAACAAAAAGTGTTGAATATAAAGAAGAGAGTCAGCATGTCGAGTGTACCTTGACAGGCGGGGCTCCCACTCCAGCAGGTCTCCTGATCGGCAGGCCGTTCTGGCTCAGCCTCTGTTTGCTGTTCAGTAAAGGTCTCTTCACTGTGCCGCCATGATCGTTACGCACCGACTCGGCCCGGTCTGGTGTAGTCTTGCCCAGCAGCTGAGGAGAGGATTACAGTATTATTATTATTATCATAATCTCACCAACAAAATAACTGGAAACATCAAAGAAAATCTGTGTAAACGCGGTTTATAAGAGTCACACGACAAAACCTCCGGCTCTGAAATTGAAGCCAATACTGAAGAGTCTTTAAGCTGCATTCTCTCTAATGTCCAGCAGGGGGCGACTCCTTTGATTGTATAGACGTCTATGAGAAAATGACTCTACTTCTCTCTTGATTGGTGTTGTCCGGTCTGGGAGTCACTACTACTTTAAGATCAAACATCTTTAACAGAATGACTTTGCTTCCACAGCCAAGAACGACCCCAACACCAACCGCATTAGTTTGTTTTAGTGCATTCACAGAGACTCACCATTGTGCTGTTTGCATCTGGCAGAAACTGTCCGAACTCTGACAGCAGGTCCTCCTGGTTCTTGAAGAGTCTTGCCACCTGAGTGTAGACCTCCTGCTCGGTCAGTGATGGGATGTAGTTGCCCGCTGCCTCTTTAGCATTTCGTTGCTCCTTCTGGAAAATGTTTCATAAAAAGAGGCCGTGAAATTACTACTTTGTGTATCCTAATTTCTTTTCTCAAGCAAAACACACTTAGGCTGGGTACCACCAAAGGAGGCCCCTCGAAACCCGGTTCGAAACGAGAACCGGTTCTAAATTAGTTAAATCCAGAGTACCAAGTACCGGAGCTAACCGTACTTTAGAAGTTAAGGAGTGAGATGTCCTTGTCTCAAACCTCCTCTCCCTATCTCTTTGTGCTTTACTCTGACACACACCGACTCAGTCTCGATAAAATCCTAACGATACCCATCCCTAGTACCAGCAGCCCTGTATATGCCGCATGTGGTATTTTCTCACCTGGTACGTGTGGAGGATTTCCAGGAAGGCTTTGTAGATGTCTGGCTGACCCTGGAAGCGGTTCTTGATCTTGTTGACGTAGTTTATAGCGTGGTTGAACTCCACGGGCTGGTTGTTCTGGAGAGGCGGCCCACCGGACGGCGTGCTGCTCACAGGAGTGTGGGACTGGACCGAGGGGGAGCGCGGCGAGGCGTAGGATGGGATGGATGGGTTGGGTTGGCTGGTGGGCGTGTGGGCCGGAGACTGAATCGGCTTAAAGGATCGACAGAGAAGAGCACAAGTGTGTCATTACAGTCATCTAGTAAACATTCAGTTTGGTGCAAACAATCAAAACACCTGAAACAAATCCATTCCAAAGAAACTACGGTATTTTTTCAAGTCAATGATACTCAATTCAGCAGATCAATACAGAAGCATGTCTTCTACCTTGCTGGTTTTGTTTGGAGCAGGTTGGGTGGGGGTCGGTGGGGTGGAGGTGGTGGTTGTGTTGGTGGTGGTGTTGGTGGCAGTGTGCGGGCCGGCCTGTGGCAGACTCTGGTGCTGGTTGTGGCTCGCGGGTTGGCTGGGCGCTCCACTTATAGGGATGTTCTGAACAGAGATGCCATGAGGGGTGATGTAGTGGATCTGACCTGGCGTGGTCACGTTGACCTGTTCGTTGGTCTGAACCTCGATCTTATATCCGGGTGGCAAGAAAGTGTTAAACCCCATGATGAGGTCTGGGTGGCCCTTGAAGAGCTGGGAGACACGGTTGATGACTCCAGGAGTGTCTATGCTGTAGTGACAGAAGGAGTGACAGCAGTTTAGTATCTGAATCATCTTCAACTTGGGTCAACAGATGTTGTTTCTGCAAGTTAAAACTTAGAAAGAATTACATTAAACTGTCATTGTCAGTGATGAGAAAATGAGTGCAGTTTGCAGAGTTATCTACAGAGTATGGACAGAATGAACAGTAATATTTAGAATGAATATAGAATGTGGAATAAACGGTATGGCGGAGATATGAATATGCTACGAATAAGGAGGAAAAACATGTGCAGCAATTACAGTAGGCAGTGAGGGGAAATGTTTAAGTAAAAAAAAAAAAATTACACAAAATGATGTACAGAATAAACAGCTGGAGGTATGATATGACGGTGTATACATTATAGATGTAAAGTATAATATAAGAGGTCCAGTTAGAGAAAATGTCCAGAACATCATAATGTCCAACTCGCTTTGAAACACAACGCCACATGTATTGAAGTAGAGGCTCAGATTGTTTGTTTTCTGTGCCTTCATTTCGGATGTGAGTGAGTATGTTACTCCCAACATTTGTGGTTTGTGTAATATGTAATAATTCTCAAAAATATATCGGTTGAAGGTCTGAGACCGGAAGGGACGGCTTCTCGGTCCAGACCTGGACCACGTCCGCCTGTTAGTGACCTCTGGTATAGACGGTGGTATGAATATGAATACGCTATGGTGCAAATGTTCAGTGGGTTAGGGGAGGATAGAAATATCATGTAAGGATTTGGAGGAAAATGGCAATAAAATTTGAACTCACCTCTGTGATTTGAACTCTTTCATGATATCAAGGAAGTCGTTATAAACTTGTGGCTGATTCCCAAACTGCAGCTTCACTTGATCCAGATAGGACAAGGCATCTTCAACCTACAAAGTAAAGAAAGAACAATAAATAAACAAAATGAAGGTCTTACTTTGTACTATAATGTGAAATCAACAATTTTTCTATGTGTAATTGGTGTATTTCATTAGCAAATGTCAACACAAACGCACAGGTGGCTGTGTCTTCATTTCATCATGGTGGAAATAAGTGTGTGAAGTACCTTCAGTCGCTGAAACTGCTGTCCTTGGGTTGAAGTCATGGGTGCAGGTGGATGAACGTGACCCTGGACCACCGCAGGGCCCTGGGACTGCACTGCCAGGGGGTGAGCGTGGGGACCAACATGAGGAGCAGCATTGTTATGTCCGTGTCCATGTCCACTCGTGCTCTGGGGCATCGTAGGCACCTTTTAGGAAGAAATCACTGGAATGTTAGGATCCATGAACCTTAAAGATCACCGTGTCTTCAGCTACGTATTCAGTCGGGTTGAAATATTTAAACTTAAAGCGAGAAATTCGTGTGATGCTGTATCAGCGTTAAGATTCTCTTGTCATCACCGACGTCCTGGCGTTGAGTCAGACATGAAGGGAAAACACACGTTCACCCAGAGACCGGACGAATCTACGTATGAATGTAAGTGTACAAACCATAGACTTTCTGTGGTTCAAACAATGACGACGCTGCCGTATTTACGCCTATATGACGTTATTTTGAGTGTTGATGGAGCTGCTACAATGATAGCAAAGCTGAGCACAAATCGATCCAAACTCCTTTCAGAAAACAAGCATTTTAAAAGTTGTTTGCTTGTCGTCTTGCGGATAGACCCACCAGAGCATGAATTCAGACTTTTTAAAAATCTGCATCATTCTGTAGTTATTTCAGCAGCTTTTTAAAAATCAATTTAATGCAGTTAAATCACAGCAAAATTGTTTATTTTGGGTTCATACCGCTGAAGTAGACCAGCCGACGTGTGGCTTGCTAGATACAGTGAATACAGCTCGGTGAAGTTCACCCAGCACCTCCCGGGTGATGTTATGACCCCAGACACGAGGAGATCTGGGACTTTCACAACATGTACAAAGCAGCCGTGGTTGGTGAAAAGTTGTCTACACGGAGGGATCCCCTTTGCTCCTCCACGGAGCGTCTAGTGCGAGTGACGCAAATAAACATAAATGATGCCGAAAATGTGCTTCACATTTGGTGTGAACACAGCGTTACGGCTATGAAACAGAGACCGTATACAACCGATTTACGGTAAACATCCTAACACGTCTTATATCCAATAAAGCAAACTTTTTTTCTGAAATTTGGTGCATGGTAAAAGTTAATCTCAGACCCAATGGTACATTACAGCAACTCTTGCTATGGGGGCTGTTGTACCAGCCGAATACATCAATGCTGTCATACCTGGTAGCCCTGGGGGAGAGAATACTGGATACCGGTGGACGGCTGCATGTTGTCTGCAGCTGCCTCGATCACAGAAGGGGCCGGGGCGAGGGCCCGGTGCTGGAAGCTGTCTGCAATGCCTTGAACTGGGGGGCGACGTGTTGGCTGTTGTTGGGGCGCAAATATTGGTTCCTGGTCCTCCACGCGCCTCTTCATTGTATACGCATACTCAAAGGGGCTAAAGGGGACAGAGACAGATGGACAGTAATGCAAGTAGTGTTCTACTTGTACTTATTTGCACAGAAAGAATCAGGGACAGTAATGCTTTCTTTGCTAGCAAGTTACTTCATTTGAATACAACAAATATTCAACAACAAACAAAAGAATTTACCAGCACAAACACTCTCTCATTTTCTGATTGAAATCTAAACAGAATTCTGATTGAAATCTGACGAGATGGTTAAAATTAGCTAATTTAAAGGGTGGGATGGAGGATTGTATTGTGCTTAAGAGTTGAACCTTTTTTTAAACTCCACACACCTCTGTCTCCTCAGCTGTGATGTGTTTGTTTAGGATGTATCGACTGCATTGCAAACATAAGTATAATGACACCGTTGCTCTTTTTATCATGGTCAATATACGTTGAAATAACTGAAAGAAAAACTGCACTGCAATCCAGTATCGAGTATCACAGAGTGTGTCAGAAAGGTGTTAATTTAACTAGAGTTCATCTGGAAGCAGTGAAAGGTGTTTCAGTATGACGCAATCCAATAAAACTGTGTGTCAAAAGTGTCAACGGTACTTAATCGCAGAAATTGTTACCGACTAAATTGTTACCGACTAACTGAAGAGTGAGGCTTTAATCAGAGGCTCTAAAACACTGTAAAAGTGTAGATCTTAAAAATATGATTGGTTTAGTATGTGTACATAGTTAAACAGTCAGTCTCAGTCTACCTAATAAGAGAACTCCGCACATATGACCACTTGGAAAGATATATTGATGATTGAAAGTCCTATTTTACAATTGACAAACAAATGCACAAATTACAAACAAAACAAATCTAATCAGGGGAAAACAAAAGCAGAAACTTAGTCCATCAAAAGGCTGTGACGAGACTTAATAGACATGCCATCATTGTCCAGCCGGTTAGGGACCATCCTTCAAGTAACAGATTTGTGTAAAGAGCTTCTTTTGCCTGCTACTACGATGTAAGTATATACTTGTTCTTACTGTTTTCATCTGTGTGTGAGAGTATATTTAGATATTATATATATATATATATATATATATACACACACACACACACACACACAACAATCTTTTTTGGGGTGTCAAAATTCCTTCTCATTACGCATGGGCCCATGTTATTACGCATTGGGCGCCTGTTATGTACCGTTTTCATTACAGTTTATTCATTTTGTAGTTACCGTCTCCCATCATTTAAACAAGTCTTTGTGGCTCCAAGCACAAAACATGTGAGAAAAGTAATTTATTGACGCTCCCTAAACCTAAACGTCATTGTAGCCGTTGAGCGGTGGACTGAGCGGACATTGTGCCTCGCTACGCTGCACCACCAGTACCGGAAAACACGGTGGTGCTGGGCGTTACGGTCTTTAATTCTCCGTCTGTCGCATTTCATCCAGCTTCTTTGACCGGAACGCGAAGCAAATACGACACAGTGAAAAAAAAAAGATGGCGATATGTATCGAGAAAAAAAAGGCTAACGTTTAGCTTCCAGCTAACACTTTTACAGGCATGTTGTCGCTGTCTCTCTCTCATTTTCTCTCTCTCTCGTAGCCCTGCCTCATCCCTTCCCCCCTTCTCTCTCTCTCTCTCTCTGCCAAACACCGAGCTTTAACGCCATCCGTTCTCGGGTTCTTTCGGTAGTCTGATGACCGTTGGCTTTTCGTCCTAGCGCGCGACGCTAACTTATGTGGCAAGCAAGCTAACCTCAACTGTCTGCAAATTAACGGCTAGTTCGCATAAAAGACACAGCGAGTGTCGGTTTGTCACTCTAAATGGGACTTAAGTATAAAAATATTAATAAAATAAATCCAGATGAGCTGAACGTGTTAGCTACCGTGCCGTTAAATAGAAGAAACACAGCCGCGCTTCATCGCAGCTGACAGCGCGCGACAACAGCTTAGTTTATAACGTATGGACTACCGTTAATACCGTAATACATAAAAGTCACGCAGTCTGTAATTAAGTATGGCTATCTATGCTAGCTGGCTAACGTTATGTCAAGGAAAAAAAGACCGCTAGCTAAGTTAGCTAACAAGCTAACACAAGCCTCTCCGTAACGTTAACATCGCAATCAACGCCAAGTTGTGCGAGAAGTTCGACGATTGGTTGTCAGACAAAACGGATTCACCACCGTTAACGTTTGGCCGACCCGGACAGTAAAATTAGACATAGCAAAGAAGAAACTTAACAACAAATAAATTGCATGATGTCAGGTCAGTCTGCTTAGCGTTAGCATATCAGCTAATTCACGTTCGCCGCTCTTAGCTTGCTAGCCTCACTAGCTTGACTTAACTTCATCGGCGCTGCAAGCTAATGTAGCCGCTAACTGTAATCCCACGTTATTTTGTGTGGAAGACGGAAATACAGTACACAATATATATTAGGTCATCACAGTAAAAGCAGCGAGTGCCCGATCGCTTTCTGGTCTATTCGACAAGGTTATATAGGAGCTAACTTGAAATGCTACACGTTAGCACAACAACCAACCCCCCATCAGTACAGGGCATCTCTTCGGGGGCTAACGAGCTAGCACTAGTTTAAACTTACCTCGCAGGACTGCCACCAGCAACAATTTGACCCACCAGTGAAATGGCACCCAGCTAACAAATTCACCTGTCCGTGACAAAAAAAAGTGAAGTTCTGAGAAGTGGCAGCTGGTGGGAAATGTCAAAAAATGAAATTGGCCGTAGAGGCTAATACGTCGCTAACAACAGTGTATGTATGAAGCGGTGTTCCTTGAACATAGGGGCGTGTCTAACAATGAAGGCGGGGCGAGTCTCCTCCCAGTCTAAACTGTGATTGGTCAGATCTCCAGAATGAAAACAAATACAGTGAGGGCAGAGAGCCAGTGTCTTTGGTTAAAGGCGTCTGGTTTAGTTAGTTTAGTTTATTTATTTTACACAATTCAAACAATAAAATAAAAAAACATAACAGAGATAAATGAATATCACAGTGCAGGAAGAGGCAAAAAGCCAACTGGGCTTATTTGAAACCTCCACCTATATAATATTAAAATGTTACAATATTACAGAGAACATACAATGAATATGCATAGGATATGACTACATAACATATTATAGTTTTATAGTATTATAGTTTTAATGGTCATGCCCGGTTTATTCCATGCTACTGAGAGGGGACTTTATAAACAAATGTATGCTTCATGAACTAAGGGCATGCTGGGTCTCAAAACTTGTGACATTTGAGTTTTTCTTTTTTACACAGACACTGATCTGCAGAACGGTCTACTATATTTATTATCATTTCTACATTAACATGTGAAAAAAGACACATTTGTGTCCAGCAAGGTATACGATCAGGAGGCGCAAGTGCTCTTTTAGAGACAGAAAGTTAATCAAATTAAGTCACTTTTGTTTTCCAACTCATTTGGAGCTCAAATAACACAATTTTTTGGGTCAAAATATTACTTTTACCTTTTCATTTTACACAGGGACAGTGTTTTGTAACAGCCTTTAAACATTGTAACATCATTTTAGAACAATACTGGTCTCAAACCTTCATGCAAACATTCACTTAAAAAGCAGAGTAGTTGAAACCCATTATAACTAAACGTTGTTCGGGACCATAAATAGACTCGCTTCACTTTTACTTTTTTAGCAGTTGATGGTGCATAATCTCACTTTGCACACATGCAACAGGAACTTTTCTCTGAATTGCATAAAACTGCTTCTGTATACTGTACCTGTAGCTCTGCCAATGCAGTTTACCAACTTAAATCATTTTTTTTACAAAATGTGTGTGTAGTAAATTGAACTACTCCCTTATTAGCTTCTCTGAGCTTTCAGCAAAATTATAAGCAAAAAGTATTTCAACTTTCCGTCTATTGATTTTGTCTGTGAAGGGCAAAGTACACAATTCAGACGTTAGAAGTCAAACTACCAGAACATATGTCAAAATTTTTCATCATGTTTTAATTTATACATTTATCTTGACATAATATACACTTGTTTTTCATTTGTTTTATATTTCTATCAATAAGACGTATTGTAATTTTCTTTTGATGGATTGTTTGATTTTATCATTGACTGTAAGTTGTTCAATATACCTTTTAATTTTGTTGCTTGTCTTACTTATGTGAAGCTTTTTGTAGCTTGGTTTTTGAAAAGTGCTCTCTGATTAACATTATTATCATTATTAGTAGTTGTAGCATTATCATTATGTCATGTTGTCAATGCCCAAGTAAATAAAAAATAATGATAATGTATTATAATGTATAAAAAGTGGCTTACGTACCCTTTCCTCGTTTAACACTGTAATTCTTTTTGCTATGTTCTAACCAGCTCCTTCTTTGTGATGCAACATTTCTTAAAATCTTGAAATAGATGTCTAACTGACCACCAGCATTTACAGCTTTGTAACCGAACAAATCAACAACACATAAAGGTTTGCAAGTGTTCAATATATTAATATATATATATATTATGTCACATTAACATTTTATTATAGAAAAATACTTTTACATTTAATGTGCAGAGGGATGCACGTCACACAACCACCAGCACTGTTACCGTCTCATACAGGTTCCTTAGGTCTGAGACAGGTTTAGAGGGTCAAAGTGTCTGAATGAATATTTGAATAATCTAAAATGTTTTTCAAATACTCCAACATTTTATCCACAATGTTTGTAACAGGTAAACATTTTGACAACAGCGAGCAGCAGGAAAGCAGTGTATTTGTTATTCCCTGCTCAAAAGCTTGTGACATCCAACAATACGTAGTCTGATTAGCTGTTTTTATTTTATTCTCTTCTAATAACAAAATACTGCATGTGCAATGAACTCTAATACATCCAGCATCTAGACAGTAAAGGACGCAAAATAGGACATTTTAACTAAGTCTCATGCTCTTATAAATTCTTTTTAAAAATATATATTTTTACATTTATTTGCTTAAACAGTAGACTGCAGACAGGAAGTGATGGGAAAGAGAAGAATGACATAAAACAAAGTTCACATACTCGAACCAACGATGTTACAATTACAAGGTCAGCTTATTATTGTATCTCAGCTCACCAGTAGTGGTAGGATGCTAAAGGACGCGACAGACAAGGTATAGTCACACATTTACGTCCTGGAGACCATCAGGACCTCCAGGTCGACACGTTTACGTCCTGGAGACCATCAGGACCTCCAGGTAGACACGTTTACGTCCTGGAGACCATCAGGACCTCCAGGTCGACACGTTTACGTCCTGGAGACCATCAGGACCTCCAGGTCGACACGTTTAAGTCCTGGAGACCATCAGGACCTCCAGGTCTTAAATGTGTGACTACCTTGTCTGTCGCATCCTTTAGCATCCTACTACTACTGGTGAGATGATACAATAATACAGATCATTCAATGTGAGCTGGGCGATAATTCAATATGATCATTTATTTGCTTTCAATGGATTCATATCTCGATGAAATCACATATTGAGATTTACTGATGAATAGCACATTAACTCACAATTTCTCAGAATAATTTTGTTTATGCAAATACCCCAGTGTAGTTAAATCAAACTGCTGTCTTCATCTGATGACTCTGTTTTTGTGTGCACACATGTAAACAGAGTCGGTGTATTGTTTACATGCTGGAAATATAGATACATATAGTTTTTCCTCTATAATTTCACTTTTGCACTGAAGTTCTTCATTTAATGACAAAATACTCAGTACTTAAGTATTTCATTGACAGAGGAGTAAACAAAAATAGGTTATACCATGATGTTATTTCACATAGGCTTTATTAAATTACTTGAAAACATGCATTATCAGGACTTATGTCATTATTGAGATACAAAATCATTAGGATTCTGGCCATTTAGCTCAGCCGTAAATGTGAACAGTGCAGCAATTATTTTATGTTTTTTTGGGGAGTTTTTTTGACAGTAATGTAGTGTGCTCTCTGCTTTATTTATGTCTCTGGAAAAACTTAACATACACAGATCATCACCCAGCAGCATGCTCAGTAAAGGAGGATGTTTTGAAGAAATACACCGATAGTTGTTATAATCACTCCTGCTGCCATGGACGAGGCCTGTTCTGGAGCTGCAAGAGACGCATTTACAATTACAGTGTTTGCGTGTACATTTTGACATTGAAACAGGATGATTTAACATGAATCAATACTTAAACTCTGAAAAAAAATAAATGGCTTAGAAGAATTCTTATTATGAATTACAGAAATAATAAAAGTGGACCCTGACAAATGTAGCTTCTCAAATTTACTGCTTTTCTCTTTGGGAAGGCTGACAATGATGAAAAAAATATTGTTTGTTCTTAAGAACAGTTATTAAAATCACAAATCTAATATGCACTTTACCAAAAACAGATATTTTCTCACACGCTATAAACGTCAAACATTTTTCAAGCATTTATGATCATTTGTACAGCTGGCAGTTGGAAACTGATATCAAACAGCTGAACATGTAAGTACGTTCCTCCAAAATAAAACAATCTATGATAAAATCTATGATGAGAAAACTATGATATTGATATTGTATTTCATGAATCATCACAAATTTAAAAAAAACAAAGACACGGAGGCTTGTTTAGAAGATAACTTCTTACCATGACTGACTGATGTGTTAGTAGTTGTAACCACAGCAGTAATCAGTGTAGCATCAGCCGGTGCAGTAGCGGTCGGTGCAGTAGCGGTCGGTGCAGTAGTGGTCGGTGCAGTAGCGGTCGGTGCAGTAGCGGTCGGTGCAGTAGCGGTCGGTGCAGTAGTGGTCGGTGCAGTAGCGGTCGGTGCAGTAGTGGTCGTCGGAGCGGTGATGACGGCTGCCGTGGTCGGTGCAGGAGTGGTGACCATAAGGCTAACGCGGCCTGATCTAATGGTGTAGGAGCTGGTAAACAAACTGTCAACCAGTATTCTGGAATCAAAGGAAGGGGTACACAGACTAGGGCACTTCTGAGATGGTAAGGTGGTGATGCAAAGATTGACTGTGCACTGGACGAACATCTGCAAAACACAAAATAAACAGACACCGGTTAGTTGTGTGGTGAGGCGGCTCACAAACATAATATGACTTCAACTATCTATAAGACATCATTGGTTGACAGAATACTGTAACAAAACATTTTTGATAATGGAAGAAGTGTAAGTTAAGGCAATGTTTAAGCTCAACAGACATGATCACATTAGCAAGTCTGTGTATACCAGGCTGTACTAAGGCACAATGGGGCTTTAAGTTAAATGCTAAATTACCCATGCAAACAAGCTCATAACAAAGCTAGCATGCTCATATTGTTAACCATGGTTCTGCCTTAGTTTAGCGTGTGCAAGCACCCTAAAATGACCTCATTAATGATAAACACGTGGTTCAGCTGAAGCTGATGAGAATGTCATTCGTTAAATTCGCCAGGAGGATCATGCAATCAGTCACACGAGGGAGCGTGCACCTCTGTGTCTGTCCACGGGTAATCTCGCATTCTGCTGCAGCAAACTGCGGTATATTTTGGGAGGCCAGTTATGGCTGCATGCTCAAGGACCTCTCGTGGTTGCGGTGACTCACACTTACTCATAAATCATTGCCTGTTTTATTCTGCCATTGAATGCCAGCTGACTCCACACTCACTACTCTTAACCGGCCCCCCGTCCTGTAGATGCCGCTAATGATACCGCAGCTGAGTTCATCTACCACAACCATCCGCTAACGCTGCGCCCAAAGTCAGGGGACAACAGTTTGCGGAGTGTTTGGCTAACAGCTAACAGAACTACCAGCGCACACAGTGCTGAGTGCATCGCCGCTCGTTTTTGAGTCTGAATGAAGTTTGTTTTATAACACGTTTCAACCCATTGGTTGCGTACATGACCGGCTGTTAGTTGACTCACTTGTATTGTTTTGGACAGTGTGTTTGTTTGTGTTTAGCTAACAGCTAATGAAACTACCAGTACTGTTATTTTTGACAATATTGTATGAAATGTCTTATAGAACGACTTCGAGCAGATTGCTTGGGTACATCGCCGCTTGTTTTTGAAGTTGAAGTTTATATGAAACACGTTTTATGATGCCTTACAGCCCATTGGTGTCTAGACTGGGAGTTAGCCAACTGCGGGTTTTATTCATTCAATTACTTAATGCCAGGTGTGTCTGTTTGTTGCAGACACACCTGGCAAAGATTTGCACTCTACTGAGTGCGGCTTTCTAGGTTTCGCATTTTTTGTTTAATAAACCAAAATTTAAAAAAAACTTTTTGAGCTGATGGTGGCAGCTTTAAGAAAAGTTAAGGGATCTCCAAAGTTATTACAATTCACCGTGTTGGAAAGATGAATGTTTGTACCAAATTTGAAGGTAATCCACCCAATAGCTGTGGAGACATTTCACTCAAAACCACGAATGTCAATCTCATGGTGGAACGAGAGGAAAAGTCTGGGTCAAAAGTCAGTCAAATTGATTCTCAGGAAGCATAAACATCTGTATTTCATGACAATGTATCCAATAGCTGTTAAGATATCTCAGTCCGACTAGAAGACGTGGACCAAACAGTGTAGTCATAGGCATTCGTCCCAGCTGTTTCAGATGGCTTAATTGGAGCTAAATCTCCACAACATCCAGCAGAAAGTTTCACGACAGCAGCGTGGCCTACATGAGTGCCCTACTCAAAGATTCAAACAGAACCAATTCCTACAAAGTCTGTATGAAAGGGCAGTACATGAAATACATTTTGTGCTTAGACTTGTTTTGTAAGATTCAAAACAATACCTGGAAGAGGAGAACTGCAAAAAATGTATTGTATGAGTGTGTTGCATGAGAGTACAGACCGACGATCCTTTGGTCTTCACAGTGCTCAAATCAAGGCGGTAAACCTTGGAATTGTTTCGTGTTGTAACAACCTCTAATGTGCTTTCGGAAGACGCACACCTGGAAGAAAAAGAGTGAGAGAAGCATTGGAATTCATATAAGCTTCTGCAAAACAAGTCAATGTTTCTTTCAGAGGATAGTATTTCATACAGTATCCGTGCTCCTCTAATTAGTAACCTCAAACTATTACAGTGAACAAGTTTGATTGTCACTGACCCTTGCTCCATAATGGGGTAGGACACTGCAAAGTCCTCCGTCTCAGACTCCATGCAATTGCCCACCATCATCTCGGCTCGAGCGATGCTGCAGTTGGACAACACGAGGAGGTCCACCTTGGAGATCCTGGACCCGATGGCCTTGCTGTCATAAGTGGAGGTTCTGTTGCTAGCGGTGCTGTTATAACGGGAGCTGCTGTTGCTCTCTGATGGTGATTCTGCTTCTCGACGCACTCGCCCCGGCGCCATCCGGAGGGCGCGAAACTTGGGGATGCGTGTGAATTCTGCCAGGGGCCCCTCTCCTGGTAAGTGAAGTTCTAACCAAATCATGACCTCACCGAAGGTCTCCCTCTCTGTGGGTATGCCTATCTTGTACTGCGACCCCTTGGCCTGGACTCCGGGGATTCGGCAGGCCAGAGGGAGGACGAGGGAGGGCTCGCTGCTGACCATAGTGTAGGGACGCACACTTTGCAAGGTGTTGGTGAAAACCAGCTCTGAACCAGAGTGCTGGGGGGGGGGGGGGGGGGTTATAATCAGAGTTAACATTCAGCTGAATAAAAGGTCAATGCAAAGTATTTTTGAATTTCACGAGTAATTTAACACCAGGCTGAAAAGCAGTGTTTTACGGCCCTTTCTGGTTTTGAAAGTGTCACGACGTTTTCACGTCGGGTGTGGTCAGAAGTGTGCTCTCTTGCACCTGCGACCAAACCCAACACTGTCCTGGAATACACCAGTACACGCTAAAGTTAAACCACTTGAGCTAAGGAAAGACTTTTGGACTTTTCAGAATGTCAGAAGGTGTTAAATTACTCTTAAAGTACTGCTGTGATCCCTTTGTTAGTCACAGGTAGATGAAGAAAAGGAAGATATAAACTACACAGCATGAAACTAATAATGTTTTGTTCAAGTCCAATTATTTACATTTTGGGATAGCCAGTTATTTAGAAGTACATCTTTTTTTACCTTTTGTCTTTTTTATGGTCATATGTTATCGTATATAAACACGTGAATGCAACAATTATTTTCGGTGCATGTACATGTAGAGTTTTAAATTGTTTTTATGTTGGGCATACAACATTTGTGTAAAAACGTCCTTTTTGTTGCCTTTTTAAAAAAAGAAAACAAAAGAAAGACAGGTGGAGCATCTTACCACAGTCTTGGTGCCGCAGCCAGTCAAGGAGATAGTTGCAGTCAGGTGTGTGCTGTTGTGGGTGATGGGACAGGTGGGGCTGTTGAGCTGCAGCTCGTCCAGGTCGATGTCCCTCAGGGAGGCGACAGGCAGCACCAGAGTCATCGCCGTCTTCTCACACGTCAGCACTGCAGGTCGACGGCAGCAAAGTCTTAGTAATTAAGTCACTCACAATTTGAATGACACGCTGAAACACTTGAATACAACAATATTTTCTCAACCTGTTCCATCGGGTAGCATCCTCATCTCCCCTGAAAAGATGAAGAAAAGCATATTTTAATGGTCGAAAAGTTAACCGTCAGTATTTTCTGAGGCTAGGCGCGGTTCATTGTGAAGCAACAGTGAAGCATAACATTCTCATGATGTTTCTAAGAGGCTGAAGGTCTTACTTTGGTACAGCCACACGCATCGGGGCTCTGACTGCAAACTGGAAAGACAAGAAGTGCAATTCAGACGAGTTCATGTGCTAAATATGGACTTTTGACTGGCGGTGTCAGCGGGAACCGTAAAGTATTTACGCTGCAGTTACAGGTTTTGGATAATTGACACAATATGAATACAGTAAGGAGACGTGGGACAATGAGCGTGACGTGAAACAAAGGTTCTCAAGATGTTGGAGTCATATGGTTTGTGTTTTAACATGTGTTTTTTATGTGTACTTTATGCAGATTTGTGTAAGTTTACGATAACAAATTACAGCTTTTTGGTAAACCTGGATATATTTGAGCATTTTTTGCTGATTTCAAATTTATTCTGATGGCTTTAGTTAGTTTTTGTGGAAACACGAGACAATCCCAGTGAAATATGGTTTTAGCTTGTTTTTATAATTCTAAACAAAGGAAAAATTCCACACATAACTCACCTCTGCAAAGCCTTTTGATTTTATCAAGACATGTTAATGTTTCACTTAAACATACACACGTATGCAGTAAATACAAAATAAAAGAGGTAAATAAAGAGGACGTGTTCTTCGAGTGTTTTTTATGGGAATGTGGATCCTTCAGATCAGTGTGATTTGTGACTCAGTGGTTTGCATGTTCCACATTTTATCGTAGGTGTGTCATGCAGTGGGACTCGTACTGGTCTGATCTTGGTCTTGACTTGGTCTCAACCCCTCAAAGTCCTGGTCTCGTCTCGGTCTCGATACACTCGGGTCTTGGTCATGACTTGGTCTCGGGTTTATCTTGTTTTGGTGTACACTTAACAGTACTAAAATACTGGTACTAATTACATTATAGTATATAATGTATTATAAACAAAGGGAAATATGTGTATTCTATAGGTTATTTAAAAAGTGTCTTTTCAAACAAACTTGATATAAAACTCCACTTTTTCTCCAATAAGTCCTGCAGCATTAGTGCCATTCATGTAACAACGTACCTTTTGGTATTCGCAGCAAAGCAGATGGGCAAAAGCCGGGGCAGTTTGTTTTGGGAGCGGATCCAGGCCATCGTCATGGCTGACAGGGAGCTGATCGATTTGAAACCAACCCTGTAGAGTTCAGGGGGACCGACCACCGCCACCTCTGAAACACTGGAAACACAGAGAGAAACATTTCATTTGCTTCTTTTTTTTATCGTATAATGGAAGTTTCTAAACTGTTTGATTTGACTTGTTTCCATGAAATCAGGTGCAAAAAATAGATATCGTTTAGATCGTCATCCCCGAAATGTAATTCAGAGTCAAAGATATCAGGAATTTCTGATATCTGCTGGCACAGCCGGACTGTTGACGCTACAGGTGCTAGCTACATGCTCGCACCGGTCCTTATTGTACTGTAAATATAAAAGAAATGTGCTTATAAAGAAAACAACCGGCGTATTTTTAGAAGGGGACAGAGCACATACTAGTAGAAATAAAGTGTGAGTGTGGTGAAACGTGTGAGTGGAGTCTTTTGTTAAGAAGTTACGCTTCGCCGTTGGCATAGCCGTTAGCATAACAAAGCTACAAGCTACCGGAAGTACTATTATTTTGTAGAAGAAGAAAAACGGCAAAAAGCAACTCAGCCGCCTAGCGGCCAGGAGGAGTAATTCCTAGAGAATTACAAAACTAGTGTTTCGGATGTGATCACCTTGGAGTGTGTTTAGAGCAGGGGAAAAGGTGAAGCAGAGGAAAAATTAATTGATGCAGGGGTGAGGCACACACACACGCATCTAAGAATTGGATTGCACATTTTTGCATTTTATCCCAACTTTGTACCCAACTACAGATTAGCAAAGATGTATTCTGACATTTACTGCTGAATCTTGGGTAGTTCTGTTTGCTTGGTTTTAGTCAAGGTGCATGGCAGAGTGGATCCAGATCTGGGGAGTGGAGCAGTGGATCCAAGTTTTGGATCAACGACGTGCACACAATACAACAGAGGGTGAGTTAACTTTAGATTCTTTAGATGACAAACTTGTACATTTGATACACATTAGAAACTAGACAAACACCACTCACACCCACATAGCACATGTGTTTGAATAAGATTGAAGGATTTAGAAAGTTACAGCAAGTCACGTTAACTATTAAGGTAAAAATGCTTAGAATGTCTCATACAGGCTGATTCACTTCACTGTACAGCACATTTAGAGTTTATTGGACAAAATATACTGCTGATGTCTCTGCTTCTGTCCCCACACAATCTGAGTTGTCAAAGGGGAGATTCCGCATGTGTTCTGGTACGAGGCCCAGGCTACAGAATGGTCGTGCTAAATACTCAGGAAATGCTGGGAAGAGCCAGAGAAAGAATGGAGGATCAAACGGTGCCCAACAAGAGGGGAAAAGAATGGGAGAAGATGAAAAAATACCTGAGGAGATGGCAGAGGAACGGGTGGTTTCCAACAGTGACGGCCCCCACTGCTGAACACAGATGCAGAGTGTGGAGAGAAGCTGCAAAGGCTAAAAACTGCAGTTGCAAATCATGTAGGAGCCAGTCGCTGGAACAAATTCGGTAGGAAAAGGGCCCTCAACATGGAAGACAAGAGGTGCTCAGATACCAAGCGTCTGCTCACTTACTGAAAGGCTGCCGACCCGACCACCCCTCCAGATGCTGTGGGACTACCTGAGGTCCTGAAAGAGACAGACTTCAAAACCACCACCACTCCCAGACCTAACACCCCGGTCTACACACCAGTATACCCGTCAGCGCTGACAGAAGCACACGGACAGACTGAGCTTTCCTCACCTCCCCCGCCGTATGCGAAAAAGAAGTGCAGAACAATCTATCCCTCATTGGCAAAGCCCTCAATCCAAGCATCCGTGTACAGAGTCAATGGAGGAACATTGGATATGGACGTGGAGAGGGAAGAGGAATACAGGTCTGTGGTAGACAGTGATGTGGTCAGCCAAGATGGGGACATGACAGAACTGAAGATGAGTACTCCAGAGAGCGGCCAAGACGAACCAGGGCGAATGGGGGGCAGAGAAGAAGAAGGAGAGACCACAAGGCCCTCCAGTGATGCCCAAGAACCAGAGAGGAGTGGCAGACATCGGCAAACAATGACGACAACAGAGATGTTGCCCTTGGAACAACGTTATGAAAGAGGGGACAATGAGTGGTCAGAAAACCATCAAGTATCTACACCAGGTAAGCAAGAAAGACAAAGAAAAGATGCGAACGAAGAGGCCATATTAAGAGAATTGGAACACCTCAGAGCAGAACGAGGAAGACAGGGAAAAAGTGAAGAGGAAGAGACGAAGGAATGGAACCTGGGGAGTGGTGAGTATAAGGCAAAAGGTTACTTGTTCCTCAAACCCAGGAGTAGACGGACAGTAGCCACCAGTGATGATGACACCCATGACGACACTGATGCAGAGGACAGAAGAGAAGAGGTATGTGGAGCAGCCGGAGGTTGTCCACTTCCCAGATGGTCCAGTAGGAAAAGGAAGGAACCAGGACGCTATGCAGACTGGTTTTGTCCTGTAAGAGGTGAGATGCCACCATTGCCCACAGCCCAACAGTTCCCCCTGCTGGTGAAATCCAATGGTCAAGCTGAGTATGTGCCATGGGGACATCGAGACATGGACACACTGGAGAAGGCACTGCCACCGTTGGGAGGAGGAGCCAGCTCTTGGAGCCGTCTCTTTGAAAAACTCACGGCAGCGGATAAATTGGCACTGGGAGACATACGGCCATGATTATCCGCACAGAGGGGACAATCAAGTTAAATGCCCTAGAAGCAGGAACAGGAACGGCCCGCAGAGTGGGCCAGACCCCATTCAACAACTTCCAAGGAATCTACTGGGAAACGATGAGAAGCATCTGGCCCACGAAACCAAACATGAACTCCCTTTCTAGACTGAAGATAAAACCAGAAGAAGAAATACATCAGTATCTGAAAAGAGCTGAAGTAGAGTGGCATGTGGCCACAGGGGGAGACATGACGGCAATGAAGCCACCACTGTAGTATGGCGACACACTGTGCAGAAGGGCTTGCCCCTACCAGTACAAACAGCGCTGAGAGGAGCAGTAGGCTTGAGCAACATGGAAGATGCCGTGTGGAGGGAACACCTCACTCACCACAACCAGAGACATCAAACTGAGGAGACAAGTGGACAGGAAGATCTGAAGAGAAAGACGCGGCGGCTGCTGAAGCTTCAAATAGCAGAGGCTGACAGAGAATTAAATAGAAAACATCAGGCCAGGAAACAGATGGCCGTAGCCGAGGCTCAGGCCTCACAACAGCCCCAATATCCAGCTGCACCCCCGACCTCATACCAACCACATCCAACAGAACCGGCACCCACGGTGGTGTACTACCAACCTCCACCAGGACCATGGGGCGGGGCCGACCAATAGAATATACAAGGGCGCTAACTAACATGAGTCAAGTTTTGTTTTCACAGGTGGAGAACACAGAGGCATCCGCTGACGAGAGAAAGCAGTTGCCTATTGTATCACCAGGCAGCTGGCTGTGGATGGGGTCCACAGGTGTAAGTGGTACTGACCAATAGGGGGGACTGGACCATGGGAGGTTCATTTTATAGCCAAGATACATAGATGACATAGGGGTACCAAGGGGGGTGTCTAATGAATTTAAAGCCAGAAATCAAATAAGCTGCAGGTTTAGACTCTGCTTTCTCTCAAAGGGTGTCAATCAATAAAAATGTCAATTGGATCAATTACATTTACTATAATCAACAGCGTTTTGTAAAGTTCACCAGGGACGCCATATCAGGACTGCATGCACAGCTAGCGAAGACTAGTTTAATGACCTTGCAGAATAGAATGGCATTAGATATGAATTTAGCTGAGCGGGGTGGAGTTTGGATCTGCCTGTGGTACTTTCGTTTCAAATAACACAGCTTCTGATGGATCGGTGACCAAGGCGCTGGCCGGATTGACGACACTCAGCCAAGAGCTAGCAGAGGACTCTGGTGTCGGTAATCCAGTCACCGACTGGTAGGAGGGGCAATCAGTTACGTGTCGACGATGAGGATGACGATGTGATGAGAATTTGAACTTCTGATGGCCACTTTTTAGTTGAGGCCACCATCGATGCCATAGCAGGACTTCACAAGCAGCTCCTGAACATCTTCACTGAGATCCTGAAGGACCTGATTAGGCCCAGATGGACTTCTAAACACATCCGGTGAGATAATGGAAATTTGGAAAATAGACTGAGATTGTTTTGTTTGAGTATTTTGAGGATTGTTTTTGTTTTATTGGGTTATAATGGGATTTCAGGGTGCAATAATTAAGAAATGTAATTTTGTCAAGTGTAAAAAGAGCAGACAAGGCTTCTCAGAAATTTTTCTCCAGCCCTCAGGATGGAGCCTGGACTCGATGCAGGACCGTTCCCTCCTCCACCATCTACAGCCCCACCACCTGGACACCAGAGGACTTCAACCGGAATCGACTGTTATTGTGTGTAGTGAGGCAAGCGTAGGGTGATCAGATAGGGGTGGGGGGAAAAATAAAAAAATAAATAAATACTTGAATTGTTGTTTGCTATTGTTTAGATAGGGGAAAACTCATCTTTGGATAGCTTCAGGGGATTGTGTTTCCAGGGTATTATTTAATCCACTGTGAACAGTGGATTAGGGGGGAGTTGTAGGAAATTTGGGTTTAGAAGTGTGTTTTAAGAAATTATAATAGAAGTGTTTAATGATTCATAATTAAGAAACCATAATTAGAAGTGTTTTGGAATACATAATTAGAAGATTCATAATTGTAAAAGTGTTTTAGAATTTGTAGTTAGAAGTGATTTGTAGTTAGAAGTGTATCTTAGTAGAATTTGTAGCACCTTTATATTTGCTTGTGAAGGTTTTTGCCAAAAGTTGCAAATCCTTATCTTTATATAGAATGTTTATCATAGAAGTGTTAAGCCATAAAAGACAGTCATTGTATGTATTAAACTGTGAAGAATAGCCAAGGGAATGTCAGACTTCTAGACAGACATTTGCAGGTTGTACCCGCGCGAGGGTTTTCGGAAGCCTGACGCCAGGAGGAGGCAACCAAAATTAGCCAATAGGAATTAAGATGGACAAAAGGGGGGGGATTTCAAACTGTAAGAGGAAGTGCTGGAAAGGAATTCACTCTCTTTCTTCTCGGCTCAGAGCCTGGAAACATCTGTGTTTCCAGGCTGAGTCGCGAGTGAATAGCTTTTCCGCGCGGATCATATATTATATATTCTGTTAGTAGTGTACTTCATTCTGTAATTGTATTAGCTTCAGTAGGATTAAATACTTTCTAATTGTAAACCAGTTGATGGTAGATTTATTAAGTAGCGACTCTACTGTAGAACAACAGTGGAGCGTGCTCTCCGGCCTTCTCTCTGTGGGGAAGATTTCAGCCTCCACAACTGGGAGGGTATTTCTGCCCAGTGGCGCTTTCCAGCTCTTCCTGGGAAAACCCCGAGGTGTTCCCAGGCCAGATTATATGTATAATCCCTCCAGTGTGTTCTGAGTCTACCTCGGGGCCTCTTACTAGTTGGACGTGCCCAGAAAACCTCTAAAGGGAGGCGTACAGGAGGCATCCATGATCAGACACCCGAACCACCTCAGTTGGCCGATTTCGACACGAAGGAGCTGCGTCTCTACTCCGGATGTTTGAGCTCCTCACCCCGTCTCTCAGGCTGAGCCCACCTTACGCAGGAAGCTCATTACGTCCGCTTGTCTCCACAATCTTATTCTTTAGGTGAGGTCCCAAAGCTCATTGTTCAAGGTGAGGGTCGGAATATAGATGGACTGGTAGATCCAGAGCTTTTTCTTCTGGCTGTGCTCAATCTTCGCCACAAGGGTGTGGTACAATGCCTGCAGTACTTTCCCCTCATGAACAAGACCTCTTGAAATACTTGAGCAGCAACTCACTCCCAACATGGAGGGTTGCAATCCACCATTGTTCTTGCAGAGAATCATAATGTTGTCAGACTTGGAGGTACTGACTCTCATCCCGACCGCTTCACCCTCTGCTGCAAACCGTCCCAGTGCGTGCTGAAGGTCCCGTTCTGAAGGAGCCAACAGAACCACATCATCTGCAAAGAACCGGAACATAATCAGGGGTCCCCAAACTCACGGCTGCAACTTGAAATCCTGTCCGTGAAAATCACGATCAGGATTGGTGACTAGGGGCGACCCTGGCAGAACGGGTTTGACTTTGTGCTGAGAATCCGGACACACCTCTCACTTTGGTTGCACAAGGAGAGGCTGGCTCGGAGCAACGACCCCGGTACCCTGTATTTCTGAGGATTCCCCATCCCCATAGGAGATAAATAAGATGGATGAAAGCAGCGGGAGGTCGGTGACTGTTGAGCCCACGTCTTCACAGAGACCTGGATCCATCGTGGTCCAGGATCGAGCTGCACTTGACGGGCGGACAGCAGGACAGAGAGCAGGACTCCGGTGGGACGAGAGGAGGTGGAGCTCGGTGCTCAAACATCAGTCGAAGTGATGGACAATGTTTTAAGATGGCATGTTATCTGACAATGTTTGTGTTTTTGATGCAAATTCAAAAAATGCACTTCAGGAATCTAATCCTGTGTTTTTCTTGGGATGCAAATGGACTACAAATGCATTTCGTTGTGCATCCCTGTGTTGCACAACGACAATAAATGATCCTTGGATCCTTGAATGTCGTATGCTTAGCAGATTGTAAAGCCCTCTGAGGCATTTGTGATCTTGGGCTATACAAATAAATTTAGTTGAATTGAACTGTATATTTATATCCAAGGACACACCTCTCCCGCTGTGACGAGAAGTCAGTGTTGAATTGCACCTCCTGGTACGGCAGGACAAACAGCGTGGTGTCCTCTTTGGGGGTGTCACCTGTTGCCACAGTTTCATCAGTGCAGCTGTAAGCCGACTCCTCCACTAAAAAGGAAGGAAAGACAATAAGAGACGTTTCTATAACTGAAGACAGGAGAGAAACTATGAAAGGAAGGACATCAAATATTCTCCAACCATTCTGTTGTATGTTTTAACAACATCCTAATTCTGTTTGCTCCACAACATACAGTAAACATGCAGTATTAATGCTGCTATGATCTGACTGACGGACTCACCAGTGAGAGAGAGGTGCACAGGGACAGAGCTGAGGGGTTTATTGTCTTGGAGGCGGCTTGTTTTGGGCACAGGAATGTGGTCCTCCGCCATCAGGTAGATGAAATACTGTCCAACTGGTGCGTTTCCAGTGAACAACAACATGCATTTGTCCTGGTAAAAGAGTTTAGACAATGAGAACGCTTTCACTGAACTGAAATACCGTCAAAACAAGAAGGTAATAACGGTTAAAGATCCTTTGTGAATGGTTTACAAAGAAAATGAAGATGTAGTATATCTGTAGTTCAGATCATTTTTGGAAAGATTTGTCAAATCTTAGTCATTCAGTGGCGATACATTTACTCAAGTACTGTTCTTAAGTACAATTATGAGGTACTTTTTTTGAGGTATTTTTATTTTATGCAACTTTATAAATCCACTACAATTCAGAGAGAAACATTGTTCCTTAAACTCCATGACTATTTGTTTGACAGCTTTAGTTACGAGTTACTTTGCAGATGTAATTAAGTCATTTAAAGCATAATTAACAAATAAATGATGATGTATTATTATGGATAAAGCAACCTGTCAGTGTACTCATTTGTTTGAATTAGCGCCACCTTGCTACAACATTAAAGTGACACTTATACATACATGCATGTATAATTGACTAATTGTATGATTATAATAATTATGCATGTATAAATTAAATTCCATAATAATGATTCAGAAATGGGCCATACTGCATATTAAGTATTTACACTATTGGTCTGTAATACTTTTGTACTTTTGAAGGACTTTTAATTGTAACAGAGTATTTCTACACTTCTGCTTGAGTAAAAGATCTGACTAAATACTTCCTCCCCCACTTGAGATGGTGATGATGATGTTTTATAACTGTAAACATGTAAATAACTGTGTTGTGTTGTATGTACTGTTCATGGATGAAGTTGGACTCACCTCATTCAGCTCTATGAAGGAGTGCTGAGTGCAGTTGAGACACTCTTCCTCGTCGGGCCGGGCAAAGCGACACGTCACCCTGTCACCATCCAGGTCTTTCACCGATAATTGGAAGTGGTGAGGGCAGTTCGCTCGGACCCTCAAACAGAATCACAAATACAATTTAGGTTTACACTTCAGGTTTTGTTACAGTTGAAATAAGATCAAATTAGTGTTTGTATTGATGAAAGAAACACTAAACATGTTGATAGGTGTGCTTTAGAGGTGCTAAAGAGCCAGGCTAGCTGTTTCCCCCTGTTTGCAGTCTTTATGCTAAGCTACGTTAGCCAACTGCTGGTTGTATCTTCATATTACATTTGTAAAACGCATATAATCATTTTTATGTTCAATTAAAATACGTGTTTACAGAGTAAGTTGTGTGTGTGTGTGAGTGTGTGTGTGTGTGTGTGTGTACCTCAGTGGAGGAGGGAGACCAACATAAGCAGGTTGGTTGAGTCTCCCGCTGTTTGCTCGAACCTTCGGTCCTGCGTTCATCGATACATACATTTCTGTGTTGGACCTAAACATTTACGAAAAAAGAAAGTGTATTAGAGAAACTAAGACTACTTGAGGAAGCCCGATTTAAACCACGACATCAAATGCTTCAGTAAATAAAATAAATAACGTCCAATCACACAAACACTGAGTAGAACATACTAGATTATAGTCAGTACATTTTACCTAAAAAAGCAGGATTATTGCAGGAATGTGAAAGAAATAAAAGCAATGAGCTACACGGGAAAAGAGTCACGAGACACCAATCGGAGTGAATGAATGAATAACATATAATAACCATAAGGCACTAGCATTTTTCTCAATACATTCATAAAAATGTCAGATGTTTTAGTCCAAAAGTTAAGACGGTGTGTGTGTGTGTGTGTGTGTGTGTGTGTGTGTGCGTGTGTGTGTGTGTGTGGTAGCGTGTGTGTCGGTCTCATACCCTAAATTTATGGTGGCTTTGTATTTACTGGGGACAGTTTTCTGCCACCGGCAGACACACCAGCCGGGGCTGGGTTTGGTGCCGGTGAAAGGTAACGATGTTGTGTGGACCAGACAGTCCTCCCCTGCAGAACACAGTCCAGACAGAGACGGACAGGGACTCGGAGTGATGGCGGTGAAATGAGCCCGAACCTGCAAGAAGCAAAGAGACAACATGACAAACTGACACGTGCAGTCATTAACATGTTAAAATAAGGCTGTACAGAAACACACGATGTCTTAATTTCTGTATCTCCTCTATAGTTATTTAAGAAGGGGAAACATGAAATAATTGTTATATAGGATTATTATATCAGATGTTACAGCCTAAACAAATTGGGCGGCGCTTAGGAGGTTTACATGGAGGTTGAAACTGTGATCAGATTTAGTTTAAAAACAAACAAAATCTCAGTTTTCCTGGGTATTCATTATTTTTCTCTCATTTATTTCTGTATTTCATTCTATGTTTTGCCAAGTGGGTGTAAAATACCTGCATTTATAATGAATATATAGCCTTGCATAGATGTAGATGTGCTATGCAACACAATATTTCAGTTACCTGATGTACAAAGTCTCTTCCATAAAGGGGGAAATAGGTAAACCTATAAATGTGTTGAGAGGGTTGATGAGCTCTGTCATGTCAGGTGCTAAAACATCCCAAAAAACAATTTAAGAATGTACATAGAAAAAGTACATCAAAGTTTTACAAAACAACTGCCATCACAGAGCTCATCAGCCTGTTGGCATGATGTTTAAATATGGGTGTGGTTTCAACTTCTCACCTGAAGAACATCCAAGTAAGAATGAAACGTTGTCTTTATTAAACGTTTGTTTCATGGTGTAAGAGTGCAGGTTTTGTCTTTCTTGTATTAGTTCACTGTCACCTGAGACGGCACAAAAGCTTCAATAGATAATAGTCTGGATCTGAAGACCCAGAGACAAAAGGTTTTTTGAGGAAGAGAACATGTTGAGCACCGTATTCCCTCCATTGCTGTCCAGGGGCACAACGTGGACCATCAGCCCCAGAGAAGAGGCTCCGCAGGCCGGGGCGAACAGGACCAGAGTCAGGCCCAGCAACAGGATGCTCAGTTTGAATATTCTCCACATCGCAGCGACTCAGTCAGACAGGAAGTCTGAACCTTTGGGAAACACAGAAACAGAAATGTTAGGCATATTGTCTCATACGGAGACAAGAAAAAAAAAACACATCTGTAAAAGAATCAGAAAATAAATGTGGAAATACAAAGAGAAATAAATTAAATAATAAATACATATGAAGGATTAATCATAAGCATTTTCATTTATTTTCACATTTATTTCCTAAATTGTTTTCTATATATATTTATTTCTATATATATTTTGGATTTTTTTAGCATTTAAATTATTAATTAAATCTGTATAATCTGTATTTTTATTTTTTATATAATGTAATTTATATAACTGTATCTATCTCTTTACTTTTCCCAGTTGTTTTTGCTATTTCTTGAAGGGCCAATCGAAGTAGTCAATTCATGCACAAATACTCTACTTTATATAAATAATACAGTCATTTATACGCAAAGAAAATACAAAAACAAGTTTTTGGCAATATATTCATTATAAATGCAGGTATTTTACATTCACTTGGCAAAAGATAGAATTAAATATATATATATAAATATATATATATGTAGAGAAATAAATGAACAAATAAATGTGAAAAATATATAAAAATGCTTATAATTACTACAATATTTCCACATTTATTTTCTTATTATTTTACAGATTAATTATTTTTATGGCACTCACATAACATAACTACACAAGAGTTATAGTCTGAGACTCATTATAGGATGTCAAAGTTGCTATTTTCACTGTGCATTGAGTTGAAAGACAATAGCAGACATCATGTTGTTTAAAAATGACAAGTCATTTTTTGGGCAATTCACACACCCAGCGCAACGAGTCCTGACACTGAGTGAGAGAAGTGAGAGGGCCTGTGGTGTCTTGCAGAAAACATGCGAGACAGATGATAGAGGAATGTTGAGCGATGGAAAGAGACCCAAGTTTCAAAAGTCGCCACAGAAGCAGTTCTATCAGAGCAACCAATCAATGAGAAGTTAGATGCATCGATTATCAATCTAAAGCACCATCACGATCAGACATGTGACCTATTCACTGATAGGTAATGTCATTATTTCAGTTGGAACAGTCACGTTAAGGTTTGAACATAGCAATAGAATAGGAGTTGAATGGAAATTCCCATTAAAATCAATTTAGCAGGACGCGGCGGCCATTTTTAAGTATGTTGTTTCCATTGTGACCGTGCTAGCCTCCTCATGAACTAAACCGACTCACGGCAAAGACTCACTGAGGTGAGGTTTTGCAGTAGCGACAAGCACAAGTAGGGGAGTCGTAACATTGAGAAGCGTAGTGAGACAGAGTAAATGAGTAAATGAGTAAAATTGAACAACTCAATGCTTCATCCTCACATGAAGAACATTTGTCTTTGTTTAGATGCCTGAAATAAGGCCTGTGGTCAGTGGGTGATTGAGACATGAAGACGCACAAGAACGTGTTAACAGACACAATTAGGCTTCATGAGTTAGTGTTGAATTATAAAACCTGTAAGACGGTGATTGAAGACTTTATTTTCTAACATTTGGTCACAGTATTGAGGAAAGATGTTTGAGGTTCAGAGGTTGTTGAGTTTAGATCCTACATTTTAAAAACAACCTCAGCGCTCCATCTCTGTATTAAGAATCTGTTTTGGCCCAATTGTTGAGAGTTACATATCCACATTTCAGTCAGTTGATGCCATTCGTGTTCCCTGAGAGACTTTGTTCTTCTTGACCTCTTAACTGACACGATGTTCTTAACAAAAACTACCAATTATTGGTTGTGTAACTCGGGTTTCTTTTGTCGTTTCTTCTTCTATTGTTAGAAGTTGTTTGCTGATTAGAGGTTTAAAACAAGAAGGGATTAGGACTTTTAAATCCGTTGCATAAGTGTTTCCCGCACACACTAAAGGAAAACACAAGTGAAGGAAACAAGGATGCAGTTTAAGAGACTTTGGATTGTGTTTTTGGAGCTAAATCACTTCTTACGAAGACATTTTAATTGATTTGCTTTTGTATTGTTTCCTTCTATTGTCCAGATTATTGCTTATCCTCTTCTTTAATGTTTGTACTAAATACAAATAAATATTAACCAACAATAATGTTAAATTGCACTTAAAGCACAAGTTGGACCGATACTGAACCATTAAAAGACATTTCACGTGAAGATTAATTTAAACATCTTTATCATATCAACTATAACACACAGGTGAAATAATAACTCTAGGGCCAAAAACAAACAATTCCATCCATCCATCCAATTTGAATTTCTAAAAATAAAACAAGGTTTTGTCCTGGAGTTTGGACATTTATCTTTGCTTACATGAGATACGGCTGATGATCTTATGTTTGATGAGATGTGTCCGTTAAAAAGGTTTATGTTTCAAACCACCTTGAAGTGAAGTTAACCATTTTGAATCTCTTTGTTGTAAGACGGTCATGTCTTTTGCTTTTGTTTTGTCAGAACAGGTAGAGATACATTTCACAGCCGAGTGTCACGGCTGAGTGTCACAGGTATGCCGAGCTTCAACTACACGTTCAAGGACGGAATGCGTTCACCGTCTGTTACATAAACACACTGGTTGGTCTTTTTTAAAGCAGTGAGACACCTTTTAAAAGATTGTATTTCTTTAGATTATACATCAATCTATAGATCTCTATATTTATTTTGTTGTACACTGAGAAATAGTTTACATCACATCTGCTCCCGCAAACAAAACAATGAAAAAATTCACCTCTTGCGTCATTAAAGTTTCTGTCGTACAATCGCTTTGTTAAAAGATTTGGACAACGTAGTCTACATTAATCTGTAAGTCTACTTATGTGCTTAATGTTATTAAACCAATTGTATATCTCACCTTCGAATTATAACAGACAAATTCTGCCAGCTTCTTTTTGCTAAAAACCGACTAAAATCTCCACAAACTGCATGAAATGACCACACAAACAAGAGGAAACTTATCAAATACATTAAGTTAAATGAATCCTTAATTACCTTAAGACACCCACCACACAAAAAGCTTCAAAGTCACACAAAACACCGAGGTGTTGACAAACAGGTGTTTCAGTAAATGCGTTCTCTTAAGCTCTGCAGGTGTTGAGGTGGAGCTACGCTTAATGTGAGCAGACAGAATGACGTTCAACTGGCTTGGCAACAGGGGCGTCGTTAGGCCCATTTTAGGGGGGCTTCAAAATAATTTGGGGGGGCAACTGTCCATAATTTCTTTTGTCGTCATTAAATTAAACTATTGTTTCTCACATGGACAAGTTATTCATAACTCTAACAAGCTACATATGTGCATGCGTTCTGGTTTGTATGTTTTCTCCCCCTTCAAATTACAAGCCAACAGCCCATCATCATACTTAACGATATAAGGTTGACACTGTCAGGTCCGTTCTCCATCCATTGTGTGCGGCCCCTTTAAGAATTAGGATTTGGGAGTGACGCGGATATGAAAGCTAGTTTATCCGTCTTTCCTTTACAAGCAGGAAAATTATTTCTCTTTATTTGAGAAAAGTTCACATTTGTGTTGTCAAATTTCACTATGACCCTGAAATTCTGTCTCGTGTTATCATATACTGAATGAAAGCAAAATCACTCTCTGATTGAACCAATCTATGAACTGTCTGAAACAATGGATATCCACGGCTCCAAAAAACAAAAAAAAAAAAAAAAAAAAAAATTTGCCGCCGCTCGCTACAGCCACAAACATCTTACTCCCCTTGGGGCTAGGCCCCCCCTTTCTTTGAATCCTAGAAACACCCCTGCTTGGCAAGATACGGTAAAATTAAAACTCATGACGTCTCTTCTCAGGAAGCTGGTAAACTGCTAAAAATAATCCTGGTTCATCTAAACCTCGTGGCGTTTTCTTTGTGTCAGACACCTGTTGCAACTCACTAACCTGTTGACAAAGACAAAACAAGCCGAACAAATGCAATGACTGAGATTTTTATTCACCGAAAAAGCAAAAGATTATCTTCTGAGGAATGAGGGGACGATGTTGGTCATTTATCAAACTCGGGCTCTCAATCCCCCGAAAAATGGTCTAGTAGTCGCGTGATGTTACACGCTTCATTTCTTCTACAAGAGTTTGTCCCTTTCTGGTCAAATTTCTAGTAAAAATACAACTATTTTACAGCAAATCCACACAAGCATCAATCACCATTTATGTTTGGTCAGAAAAACAAACAGTTAATCTCAGTCTAAGAGAGGACCTCCGGTCAGGACGGGGGTCCCTGGAGTTTGGTCAGATGAGGAGAGGGGGGGCCTTGCAGCGCTTTGGACCTTCTCTCAGGTGGTTGGAGACAAGAGAGCGGCCCGCTAACTCCTTTTACCTCCTGTCGATGCAGCCGGAGACGCCAGATCTGTGCATTACTTGCCGTTTTTCACGTTGAGCATTTTCTCCTGTGATTCAGAAGAAAAGAACCAAAAAGAGTCGGCACACACCAACGAAATCATCTTTAAACTGACTGCAAGGAAAACAGCACGTTCTTAGTAAGAGCATTCAAATCGAAACACACATTTAACAATAAAACCAACGTACTTTGATCATGGTCTCCAGCTTGATGGCGTCAGCAGCGAACTTGCGGATGCCGTCGGACAGCTTCTCCACGGCCATGCGGTCCTCGTTGTGCTGCCAGCGGTAGTCCTTCTCATCCAGGTGGATCTTCTCCAGATCACAAGCCTTGGCTGCAGACACAAACCACCGAGGTCAAGCTGGAAACACGTGCATCCTAGCTTTGAAGGTTCTACATATAGTTGGAAAGTCGCCATCACTGGATGGCGTCGACACGAAACCAAAATGACGACTTTAACGAGACACACCGACTAAATATCTCAGCAAAAAGTTAACAGATTTATGAAATCATAGAAACATGCAACTTAAAATGATTTCCTTGATAGTTAACTTTCTATTTTGAGAGTAATTAAAAATAAAAAGATACTCATTTGCAACCAGATATCACAACACAAAAGTTTACATTGTGTGAAACAGCGCCCAGTAACAGTTCAGGCAGACAGTGGTACTGCAGGACGGGACGCTGCGACAAGCATCCAAAACCAAACTAAATGATAGTAACTTCAGATGAAGTTCTGCGAGACGGGCAATGAATGTGACTGCTGTACACGCATGATAGTGTGGTGACTCTCCCAATGCTCCGCGGTGCATTTACTGGCACTGATGGAGAGTACGTGAATGGAAAAATAGGCGGGAACGAGTGTTCAGGGAACGCCTCACCCAAAAGCATTCCGATTTCTGTGTCACATAAATTCCTTTTCGTACATCTTCCTCTCCGTCATTGCCATGACTCAGCGGTATTACGGCAGCAAAGTGCAACAACAAGAGGCATCAGCAAAAGAACAAAACAAGCGTCATAAATAAATCAGACAGTTAAGATGTAAGAAATGGGTGAGCCGTAAAAACATGATGATACGTGTCTGATCCACAATTCCAGGTCGATTTGGGATTTATAAGTTAAACACTGGCAGACGCATGTGAAGTTTTATGAACCAGACAAGTGCATCTCCTCATTTGTAGATTCTCTGCTTTTATAAATGAGGCCGCAGGACCGTTTACAGATTAAAGGCACTTCTTATGACAAACGAGTGTAAAAGTTAAACTGGTCTTTGTGCTGCAAATAGGATTTTAAAAAGTGAGCATGTATTCATGAGCCATTAATCTGATTTACATCATTACATTTATAACACCATCGGATTACATCAGAGGGGAAATAAAAACAAAAGGCGACATCCGTTATTAAAGTGTGTAACAAAAGCCGGTATTCTGAACCTATGAAAGCTGTTCCATGACGTCATGAATTCATTGAAGGAATGTCTCAGTCAGATCTCCAAAGGTCGGTATGAGAGCAGCGGCTGAGCGCTGCAAAAAAAGGTACGGTTAGGGCCGGGCGGGACGGCCTCAAATATATTTCACGCCATCATTTTGCAGCACGGACGGTACCGGTGTATTTATAATAAACCAGTACCGGCCGTGCTTCAAAGCTGCTTTGAGATCGTGTTAGGAAGTTAAACAGCTCATAATTCTCTAATATCCATTTTATTTTGCTTTAAAAATGTCTCCTTCAAACAACTGCACGTGTTCAAGTGTCAACAAAAAAAACAAAAACTACATTTTACAACACTTGATTTGAACACATCCTGATAACGTTATATTCCTTTGCCCAATACTCATATTTACTGAGCAAAGCCTGAACGCACCATGGAAGTCAACGCAACCTTTTTTTTAATCTCCGTACGTGCGTCTCAAGGCTCTACCGGTCAGCACGGTATAATGGAAACTCATACCGAAGGACTAAACCCTTCTGTAACTTCCACCCCCGGTGCGGTCGTTTTATATTTTATTCTGATCACAGCCAACGGTACCTTTCTCCGCTTTGAGCATCTCGGGGACGGCGCTGTGGTCCTGGCTGAGCTCCGCCAGCAGCCCGGGGGAGATGGTGAGCAGGTCGCAGCCCGCCAGCGCTTTCACCTGCCCCGTGTTCCTGAAGGAGGCGCCCATCACCACGGTGCTGTAGTCGAACTTCTTGTAGTAGTTGTAAATCTTGGTCACGCTCAGCACACCTGGGAGAGGAACATTCAAACAAACAGAAGGATGATTTCTTAAGGAGAAGACATTTTAAAGATGAGGCTCCTCCTCCTTGTTGAATGAGTTTGGTGGTCTGGTTGAAAAAAAAATCTGCGGACGGATAGTTTAACTTTTACAGAATGATACCTTAAGAAGCTTCTTAATTATATTTTGTAATTGATTGCTGCTCGTTCAGGCATACAGAATTATGTCAAAGACCTTTTTACAGCCAGCAACAAGATGACGTCATGATGTCAGCTTGACGACAGACAGCAGGCGAACACGAGTCACCTCACAGTAGAGGGTTGAATTACATCTTGGTGTGTTGTTGGGTGCAGAAGAGACATCTTATTCATTCGAGATGATAAAACTGTGATTCGAAGCCGTAGCGAGCAGCAACGTTGGCAAAGTGTTCTCAGAGATGGAGATCAAATGTTAAATAAAGCTAACAGTTTAGCTTAGCTTTCTGCTTAACAACCGCAGCAGGCTCAGTTATTAGGGAGATGGAGAGATGGCCCCCTGTTGGGCTGATTTTCTGTGACCAGTGTAGCATGGTGGAGGTAGCCAGCTAACTAGCCAGCTAACTAGCTGTCATGCAAAACTGGTTCATGAAAATACGATAGCAAAGTGCTTCTCCACTCTGAGAACCGTGTGTGGCTGAAGTATTCTTATGTACAATTGTTTTCGCTTTTAGCTAGCTACCTTGCTAATTCATGTACATATTTAGAAAAACTAAAATTTTGTTGTCTTTCACAAAGCAAGAATTATGGTCTGGAGAAATGGGGATTGCTTTAGCCCCGTTTGAATCAGTAGGGAGTAGCCGCCTAAACGCTGCGGGGAGAGTTTGTAGCGTGGGTGCTACTGTTGGTTTTCCTGCTAGGCCAGTTTAGCGTAGCGTGCCTCCCAGAACATGCGAGCCTCACCACAGTACAATGTTGTTCTGACACAGTGGGAGTGTCAGACAGCATGTTGCCAGGTTGACCGAGTTAAGTATTTTCTTTGCCTGCTCCAGTTTGTATATTTTGATGACTCGCCAATCCAGTGGCACAATAAAACTAATCTGGTGTCAACAACATTTGTTTGGAGCAGCCAGTCTAAAACTAGACAACAGCATTCTCATCACGTCCCCTTCAGCGGATTCACTCTTGATTTGAGTGATGCGACAGTGTCTCTTACTAATGGCCACGTCGGGCTTCTGCACAAACCCAACCCAAAAGAAACTTCAGATAAAACATTTAACCGTGTGGTGAAACGTCTTTGTCCCCTCATGTACAGCCGGTCAATTGATCGGCCAACAGCGCGACAACGGCTGCGCGACTCGATGTGAATGCAGCCTTCAGCGAGGTGCCAATGTGCCAACATCTTGGTTGTGACCAAAAATAGCTCTAGCCTCCTCATTTTGCTCCAGATTGATGCATTTAACTTTAGAATGTACACAGTTCTCTGTCCCCAGACTTCTTTGCAGGAACCACTTGATTACCTGGGTCTTCGTGTGGTTCGTAGCTTGCGCGGCCGGTGCTCTCTTTGTACCAGTCGAGGATGCGGCCAACGAAGGGTGATATAAGAGTCACGTTTGCTTCTGCGCAGGCCACAGCCTGAGCGAAAGAGAACAGCAAGGTCATGTTGCAGTGAACACCGTGGTCTTTCTCCAGCACCCTGTAGAGAAAAACAAAAATCACATATACTTCATTTAAAAAACAGAGAATAAGAATTTGAGACGATACAGTTTAAGGTGCAGTGTAGACGGCCGTTTATTTTAAAAGACTGGATGAATGAAACGAGCAGAAACCGACACGTGTTGCTGAAATTTTGTAGGACTTTTACGTAGGATATCAAAAACCGTTGTATAAACATTAGATGCACATTGCCATTGATTGGCAGACAGGTGAAATGTGTTTCAATCAGGAGCCCGGGTCTTACTACACAGTTCCTGATATCCTCATGTCCTCTTCTCGAGGATAATATTCTCTTCCTCCATGCGCCTGAATACTTTGAGTGCCATCGTTTATGGCCCCTCATCGTACTATTTTAGCTGCATGTTAATGCCCGACAGCAGACGGCAGCTGTAGAGTGACTTTTAGAGCTGCAACGATTAACCGATTAGTTGTCAACGGTTAAATGCATCGGTTACTATTTAGACTATCAATTAAAAATCAGTTTGAGTGATTTATTTTACTCAGACGATAAAACTGAATGTCTTTGAGCTGTGGAGTTAGTTGCAGCTTTAGTAGATTCCACACAAAGTGACAACACTGCCGTCTCCACTTTATGCACCCGTGTCATAAATGTCTGAGTCATGAAGCCGTTTCCCTGCAACAATTCTTTGAGTATTTCGAGTGCCATGAAGAAGACTTCACTTCCAGAACCGACAGAGGAACTCCGTCGTGCTTAAAAGGAAACATTATATACTGCACAAAGTTAAAGGTTGAGTGGAGGCAATGAGCCAACGCCCCGAATTCAAACATTAAATAAAATGCTACCGTTAAATGTGTCACACAGCTACTGGACATGAGCTTTATGGAGCACAAAATGGATTACGGCTGCGGCAGCTTTTATTTTCACAGTTGATTCAGCGACTGAAAATGTTTTCGATTAATAAAATGTCATAAAATTGTGACCCTATATTCAAGAGTCTTGCTAGAAATAGTGCTGTTCCTGGAAGGATTTTATAAATAATATTTTTATCGATACTCCTAGGTTCTGTTCTTCATCGACAAATCTAAAGAATGTCCTCCGATGTGATTCACTGCCCGCTGGTAGAGGGAGGAGAGCTGCTCCGTCTCAACCAGCAGAGAAGTTTACAAGGATGTAGAGATAAACTGAGCTTAACTAAACACGGCGTGTTTTAGCTGGTTTGTACGAGTATCGATACATTGGCTTTTCACTCGTGAAGGTTTTATTGAGCTTAGAGGAGCAAAAAACATAGTTGTCAAAATTACTCAACCGTCTCCATCGCTGCCTGTTTGAGAGAGTGAGAGAGAGAGTGAGAGAGAGTGGTTGGAGGAAGATGCTGCACTGTGATAATATGTTCGACCAAATCATTAAAAAGTACAGATCCGGGTTTTGGTACCCTAACCCTAGTTCCTGGGCGCTTACATTATTTTCATGTCTCAGCTAGAGAGCATTATTAAATAATTTTAAAGAATTATTTGGGTGCTTTTATGCCATTATTACGGATAGTTACGAGACGGCAAAAACTGCCTCAGAATACCGAAAAGGATCATAAAACCCGGTCCATAGAGTTAAAATGCAAATTTAAAAAGCCAGGCGAGCATAGCTCACGTTACACGCTCACCTGCCGGCCTGGATCCCCTCCCAGGTAGACGACAGCTTGATGAGCACTCGCTCCTTACCGATTCCAGCTTCTTCGTAGAGAGCGATGAGCCTCAGGGCCCTGGCAACCATCTCATCTTTGTCAAAAGAAAGTCTGTTGACCAAGAGACACAAAAGAGACGTTGTGCATTTCAGCAATTAGCCGCTTTCCATCTTGAGACACAATTGTTTTGGTTCACCGTAGGCAAAAGAAAACAAACATGAAAGAGCATCCCTCAGTCTGTGTGTCATAATTAGCACCGTGTGACATGTTTGCACCGACCTGGCGTCCACCTCGGTAGAGACTCGGCCCGGGACCTTCTTGAGGATCTCTAGCCCGAAGCTCACGAACAGCTTGTCCATGGTGTTGTCTACCTGCTCCTCCTCAGTTCTGCACAAAGAACATCATGAGCTGGTTAACTTAATGTCACCTACACGGAAAAAGGAATTTAATGGACATTGTGTCGTTGTTATATTATACTCAAACAATAAAAGATGCAAAGTCAAACACCAAATCAACCATCTCCAAACGCAGTTTTTCATGTTTAACAAACACATGTCATGAGTCTACGAATTAAAAAAAAAAAAAAAAACAGACTAACAAAATTCAAGGTCCTAAATTCGATAATCAGAGCCGAGGGATATGCCCAACCACTAACGCTCGTTAATGAGTAGCGATACTCAACGACTAAAATAACCCCGCACCAAGTCGTGTCAAAACGTCCCCAGTTAAACCCGCAAATGATCATTTTTGTAGCCAGATCTTCAACAAAGAGATTTGTATGAATTTGCTTGCATCGAAACACCTCAAGCGTTCTTGGATTTAATGCGCCTCATGATTGGGCCTCTAACACAGCAGCTACGACCCAGATAGCCTGGAACGCTGCCTGCACACGGCTCTGACTACAGGTAGGAGCCAACAGCACCAACAGTGCTGACTGGAGGGTAGACTCATCCGTCATTCTGGTTTTAGTCGACTCAGATATCTTAAGTCTTTTTATGCTTAATGACTTAAGAGCGCATTTCTGGTAAACACAAGATATAAAACGGTGCTTTCGAGTGATTCTTTGTGTAGAACGTCACTTTTACAAATCTGTCGGTTACATCAGCCATTTGATTAGTTGCCAAAATGTGAGTTGGTGTTAGTCTAATAAGAATGTATTTGGTTGAGGACAGCCTCAGCGCTAACGTGCACTAAAAGGCACTGTCGACAAACAATTTGAATGCACGCATGCACACATAAACTGTTTATTTAAAATTGAAATGATTTGATGGTGAAATAAAGCTGCACTAATGCAGCCGTCTGCCTGGCGTGCGCCGCTGACTGCACACGTCACTTTGATTAGTTGAAAACAACAGCATGAGTTACGTTATAAACAAACCACAACTCTCTCAGCTGTGTGCTCGAGATGAGACTGGAGACGTAACCACGTACACACAGCACATCTAGTAGTGTTGTCTTTACTGGAAACGTTGACACAATATAGACTAAAGCAAGTAGGAAGCTGTTAACACCGCGCACAGAGGAACTGTGCAACATCTTCAAAAACACATACAATGTTCCCTTTGACTTCCACTTCAAGACCGTTTGTATTCAGGTGTAATTTCAACAGTTATACAAACAGTTGTGTCATTTTAGGGTTCTCTCGATCGTGCTCAACATCTTACCCGCCTTTGGCGATGCCGTATTTAATGGCCTGGTCTACCAGGTGCTGGTAGGCCGGCATCTTGGCAGCAGCCAGGATGAGAGACGGGTTGGTGGTGGCATCCTGAGGCTTGTACTCCTCGATGGCTGCAGGACGGGAAGACCGAGCGAAGTAGTTAACAGTCGCATACAAAAACACCCCACAGCCTGGTTTCTAACGAATGTCTCACACATGGGAACATCGTATCGTGGAAGATGTACTAATACTTTATGACCTTTATTATGTTTTCATTCCTGGATGTTTAATGATCCAGTAAATGACTAAATGTTTAACTGAATCCTTTCATATCTTCAGGTGGAGGCAGTGTTAAATGTAATGATCTGTCAACATGTACTCATTAACATTTAGACCATCATGATATGGAAACATTTTAACAACTTCATTATTTTGAACATGTCTCACCATCATATTTATTAAAATTTAGAAAAGTTATGCAAATACTGTTCGTGTATTCTTTACAAAATTCAAATCTTAATCTACAAAAACAAGCGTTAAATGCAGCTCTGCAACAGATTTAATAAGCAAAAACAGAGGAAACTAAACCGTTTCCCTAGAATGTTTTTGTTATAATCTTTCATGATTTCATATGTAAAACCATCCTAAACCTCCCCATCGGCATCTTTACAGACAGACTAAATTTAACCAGTTGAATCGACAATAAACGCCTGCGGGCAGATCGAAAATAGCGCCATCTAGTGTGTAGAGATGCGTCTGTACAGTCCTCGAAACTATTCACACTGAGACGGAAGATACAGTTCAACACAACCTCCAGTCCGACGAAGGCTTAAGTGGGGCAATGATTAATAGTCTTTTGTTCATTTCTAAAGACTGATTATATGCTGCTGGGAATCCTTAAGACTGAGACAAACAAAACCCTTTCTGCTGATGCTGCAACTTAAGGAGCTAATGGAATATTTAGTGCTGAAAGATCGAATCATGACGATTAAGTGAAAAATATTAAATTGTCACAAGGCCGGAGTAAAACTTCTTCCATGGCCTAAAGAAGTCCACTATTTAATTGGACGTGCGTGAGCACCTTGTT